CCATCCCACACCATCCCATCCCATCATCAGGACCATGCAGCCCTCCCATCCACGCTGCCCTGGGCCGCACACTGAACCGCAAGGCTCAGGCTGCCATCTCAGCCACTGGGCCCAGGACTCAGGCTGCTCTGAACTGAACACGCAGCTGTTAGCTGCAGAGCCCCTTCCCTCCACAACTCGGCCCAGCCCCTCCGTGTAAGTTCGGGAAATGCATTTTGTACGTTCTGGAGTGTAACACTGATACTACAACCCGCTCCAGCCTCAGTTTCCCAAATGCTCCTGGAAGATTAACCCAAGGCGAAACTATAAAGTCGGTGAACTTTAACGTGGTCCTTCTGAGTATCCTTCCTGCACCTTCGACCAAACTTTAGCACCTCCACCAGGTCCCTGGTGTCCCTGGCTACCCAACCTGTCCATCCTGTGGAGGGGGGTTTTAGTACACATTCACTCAGAGTGTGAATGGCTAAATCTTTACCCCTCCACTCAGAAAATAATTTAATGGTTAATACAAAGGAATGGATTACTGACATCGCTCTCAGGGAAGAACTCTGGGCGGTGGTGAGAGAGGGGTCTTTGGGGGCACTTTGAATTCCAGCAGCCAGACCCCAGGCGGATGAGCCTGCCTGGGAGACATGTCCCCGGACTCTCAGCCTCATCCCATTCCTCAGCCCCAACCCCACCTTCCCTGCCTTGGTGGGACTCCCACCTGGCTGACCGGCCTCTCTAAAGGACGTGGGAAGGAGAATCTGTGCGTCGGGCACTGAGCTCTGCGGTCTCAAGGCCCCTTGGCTCTGAAGGTTTCTGATTCGCTGTGTTATAAACAAACAGCCTCCCAGAGCCTGTCCTCTGCGGCACGTCCCGCACCCGCAACCACGGCTTCCACCTGCCAGCCCCGCCTGCAGGTTCTCCCTTCCAGGCGGCAGCTCCTTGAGGCAGCAGGTCAGGAAGCAAGCGCTCACGCATGGAAAAGAGGAGTTTAATGAAAACATTCAGGATCACTGTGGGGATAAGTGTCTCTCAGGCTGAGGCTCCCCTGAGGAGCAAATGAGAATGGGTTTAACCTGAATCGGATCAGACAGAAAGGCCAGCTTCACAGCTGCAGCACTTTACAAGTCCCCAGAGCACGGGGCCAAGCGGGGTTGCGAAGGCTTTCAGAAGATGTCTGCTCTGCAGAGGCTGCGGGCACTGTTCTGTCTGAAGGCAGGGGCAGTGACGAAAGGGGAGGGAGAGGAGCCGCCTGGCTCTCACGCGCAGGCCTTGGCGTCCCCCCGCTGAACGCACGCAGTGTCACGGAACATCTACATGGGACGAGCCACTCTGTGGCCATGACAGACCCAGACCGAAACAAGACCATTCGTGATCATGTCTGAACACAGGCAAATGTGTGAACAGTGTTCAACCACAAAAAAGACCACACAGCCTCTCTCCTGAGTGACTGCTACTTCTGTGACAGTCACAGCCTCAGCCTCCCTCTGGGCTAGCCCTTTCCAGGTAAGGTTCACTGAGATGCCAAGCATAGAATTACCCCACTTCCTGACAGCATGCAAACCCGTGCTTCCCTAAACCTTCCCCAAATCACCGAACACAGCCCGTGTTCTAAACCAGCATCTCTAACAGGCTCTGCTGAGATGCCCATGCCCCACACCCCGGTGTACATTCTCCCCCTGCTGCAATAGTTGAGAAACGCAACTTGTTCAACTACAGGGATGTTCCAAGAGGGGTTGTTGACCAAGGCATTCACACATTGTGTTCCCAGGATGGCAAGTCCCCCAGGGCCCTTTGCAACACTGAGCCATCCCTACCCCACCACCAAATAGGAGAGGCAGCCAGATGTTTCTGCAAAGGGCAGGATGGAGGCAGCTCATTTTTATCAGCATCTAGAACAGTGCCTGGCACATAGTAGATGCTCAGTAAAACAGGTGGCTAAAGGAATGAATCAGAATCACTTAGACAACACGGTTTCTCCAAGCCCTTGAAGGTCTAAGCGGCTTTAAGACCTTTCATGAGGAAACAAGAATTTCTAGAGTAAGTAGTGATCCTTACAAACATTTTGGTAGCATCTGGTGGTGCCCTGGAGACTCTGTTTGTCCCTGCAGATCCACCCCACCACCACCACCACCATCCTGCTCTGTATCCCAGATTATGACTCCTATAAACTGTGTTAGCCAGGTTCCCTTGTCCTCTGACTTCTGGTCGTCTTCCACCAGTGAGTCACCAGATCAGAGGGCAGGAGAGATCTTCCCTCCCTCCCTCCTGGGGGAAACAGTGGACTGCCTGCATCCCTTTACCCAAAGCACCTCACTGGGCAGCCCTCTCCTACAGCTCTCTCTGGGTCCCAGTACCGACCCCCAGCTCCTGCCCCTTCAGCCTGGGCTGGATCCCCACTGATGCTCGCCGTAGAGTGTTACACCATCCAAACCCCACCCACACCTTTGTAAATAACCTTTTCATTGCATTTTCTTCTAATGTCCTATTTCTTCCCTCTCTTTCCTGCTGAGAAAAATCTAGTAAGTGGCTTCAGAAGATCCTCACTCGTCCCAATTTGCACCTGCTGAGTGGCCTCAGAGGCTCAGTGAGGACCTGGGGATGCAGGTGTGTGACTGCTTGTGTGGGGGTGCAGGGCAATCAGACCTTACTAAGCTCAGGGGGAGAAGACCCCTTGGGTTCCAATCCAGCAGGCTCTGTCACCAGCTAGGAGGACCCAATAATCAGTGAGCGGAGAGGGGAGCCAGAACTGAGACTTTTCTCCAGAACCTAGGGTTGCAGCAGCTGTGTGTTCAACCCCAAATCAGGGTAACAGCCCGACTAGAGGAAGGGTACCGGTGGGAACCAATGAAAGAAAACGTTCAAAATGGTGCCTCCCCTGGGAAACCTGGGCACCCGGCTGCCCCCTCACCCGTGGTGGCCAGCAGGTGCTGGGGGCTGCTGGGAACGTCTTTCTTCACGTTCCTCAGGGTGACTATGTACTTGGTTCCAGGCAGCAAGCCGACGATGTCGTAGCTGTTCTGCTCCTTGGGCACCTGGATCTGCTTCCCGGAGAGCTCCTTCCCCAGGGGGTAGTAGCTGAGAAGGTAGTGGTCCACCTCGCTGGAGGGCTCCCAGCTCACCAGCAGGGAATCCTCGGTGCTCCTGAGCAGCTGCAGGCCCTGGGGGGCCACCACTGGGCGCAGAACCAGACGGGATGGAGGGGGCGAGGAAAGAGGGGTGGAACTCGGTGAGCAGCGGTTGAGCACCTACTGTATACGTCACACTATCACAGGGGTGTGAAGGATACATCTGGTCGACCCCCTGCACACACACACACACACACACACACGCACACACACGCGCACACACACACGCGCGCACACACGCACACACACACGCACACACACGCACACACGCACACACGCACACACACGCACACACACACACACGCGCGCGCGC